CTACCATGTTTGCCAGACCACCCCCAAATAAAACAGTTTCGTGTTTCCCCTAAACAGCAAATACCCCAAGCCCCTCCTTCAGACTGAAAGCCTGTATTCTCCAGGACTAAATTTTTGGGCAAACCCGTTTTCCCCAAAATCCCTTCAAAAAATATTATCTTGCTTCACCCCAAAACAGATAAACCCCAAAAGCATTCGTCTCCAGTTCTATTAACCGTACATATATAAAAAATGAATGCGCGCACGCACTTATTTATTCCTTAATGGTACATTTTTCGGCGGGTTTTTGTAGGCAGGGCCGAGTTTGCGAAAAGGGTTTTTGGGCAGGAGTGGAGCTGGAGACTCGACAGGTCGTCACAAAAGGGACTGTCCAAAAGGGGTTTAAAGTTCTTCCCCTGTGCTAAGAACTATGGTTAGTAAATTATATTTATGTTCTCTTTGCCGTAATTTGAAATGATGTCAGCTTGTTGAAATATAAAATATTTTTTTGTTTTGGGAACAATTTTAATAAAAAGATATCTACTATTGCAATTTTGCCAAAAAAAAAACTAGCAAATTCGAAAAATGCTTTTGTGATTTTCTTAAAAAAAATTCTTTTGTAGTGAAAAAAAACTAGACATAACAAAGACATAGTGAGATTTAAAGAGAGTTGATAAGCCCTGATTGACCCTGTGTGAATTTCCCGAATTTGGCCCTTTTTTTGGGCTGTGATTGGCCCCGGGATTTTACTTTAGATTCTTCAAGACTGAAACTGTTGCTATCAAATGGGGGTTTATCCATCAAAAATACTACTACCATCTTCCCCCATTTTCAGTATTTCTTTTACAACAAATGTTCCAACCCGTGTCTAAAATTCCCCATCTTGTCCCCATTATATAACCAAATTTTTAAATTTAATCTTTGGAAAAAAAAAAATTTTAGCCCTTTTTCTCGCGATAAAATTCCCCTGGATTTTTAAATCGTTCCCCTTTCCCTTTTTCGTTAATATTCCAAAAAAAAAAATAGAGAAAATCGACGTTCTGTTGATAGCAATATCTGGGTCAGCAGTTTTTGCGATACTTTTCCACTTTGATATTTTTTATTTCCTCAGTTTCCGGGGTAAACTTTACCTTGTCATGTCAGAGCTCTATGAAAAAGGGCCCGTCCAAACCCGGGGTGCTACCCCCCACAAGTCAGCTCAACCCCTTGCGCCTACTTACTGTTTTGGTGAAAATGGCAAAAGGTGTAAAGGGAAAAATGCCCAGTTTTTCACCTGTGCCGGGGGGTCGAACTAGGAACCTTCAGTAAGTGAGTGAATGTGCTACACAAAGCCCACGGCCCGGACTGCTAAGGATTGTAAAAATATTTTATGTCACAAAATTGGGGTTGTTGCATGTTGATAACTTTATAAAAGTTACTGACAGGTAACGCTTGTGTTTAAAAAAAAAATTTGGGGGAGCGAGAAGTATTAAAGGGTTTGGAAAACTTTCTTAGGGATGCATGCTTGGCCTATGTAGTGTCTTTTATGTTTAAAACTTTTTTAATAATGTGGGTGGTTTCGTTCCCGGAATGTTTTTGTGTACTGAAATTGCTGATACCCCTGGGGTGCAGAGCTAAAATGTGAAAAATGCTGGGAGCACGAAAAACCCTTTTGGGGAATTTTTGTATCATCCATTGTTTGGTTTAAATTTAAAGTATATTGTATGAAATGTAAATTAATTTTGAAACTTGCAAGTTTTGGAAAAAAAATATGTTAAAGTGTTTTCGATTTCCCCCAAAATTCGTTCAGGTAATCTTTTTGCCCGTGAATCGCCTGACTAAAATCCCCACGTGAATGTGGGTCGTCAGGGTGCTCCACCTCTGTATAAAAAAGTCAGAGGTCCAACACAAAGTTTGCCCCGATCCCCGTCTCGCTTCCCCCCGGGGGGATAAAACCTTTGGGCCCTGTAGATGTCTCCAGGGGGGTTTCCGGGTGGGTCAGGGTCAGCCCCTAATACCTGTTTTCATTTTCATGAAATTTTAAACCCCTTTCAAGTTTCACTGCAAGGAGTGGGGGAGGCTCGACCCTTCCCTCCATTTAAAAACATTTATGGGGTTTTTTCCGTTTAGGCTACTACCTTAAAGCTTCCTGTTGGCCCCCTTTTTTTCTATACTTTTTTATCCAAAACCCCTATCATGTTTTTTTCCCCAAATTACAGAGAAAAGGGGGGGGGGGGAAAGGGGTGGGAAAACAGATGACATCCTGGGATTTTGGAAAGACACTTTGGAAAAATCCCTCATTCCAAAGTTTTCCTTAATATATGCATTTTTTTGCATGTATGAAATAAAAAAATTTTAAAAAAAACAGTATTAAGGGAAAGGGGGCAGAAGTTTGTGGTTTTTGGAGGGGGGGGGCAGGAGGGAAAAAGGAGTGATTTGGGGGAATGAGGGAAAATTAAAGGGTTTTGTAAAGAGAAAAAAGGGGCTTATGAGAGGGGGTTTTTCAAAGCGAAGTGTTTTTTAAAAAGTGCAGAGTATATGGAAAAAGGGAAAAGAAAGGTTTAAAAGAGTGGTGAGGGGAGTGCAAAAGGAGAGCGATAATAGAGTTTGGGGGAGGCCTGTCAAAAAAATTTTAATGAAAAAAAGAAAAAAAAATTTTGGGGTGAAATTAAACGGTTAAGAAAGGCCCCGGGAAAGTATGGGGTTTTCAGTTAAAAAACAGAGTAGGGGGGTTTGTAGATGGGGAGGTGGAAAGGGAAATTTGGTAGATGGGGAGAATATTTTTAGGAACTTTTAAATGTTAAAAGAAAAAGGGAGTAAAATTTTATGCACTGGTCAGGGAGGGTTTTCCATCTTTTGGAGTGAAAAAGAGCAGAATGTAAGTGTGGGGGGGGTACGTGAGGCATTAAAGAGTGTATCAGTCTGTAGTGGAAGGAAGGCGGGGTAGGGGTCGGCCTAGGAAGGGTTGGAGGGAGGGGGTTAAAGGAGGTTTTGTGTGCGAGGGGCTTGGACTTCCAGCAGGCATGCTTGAGCGTGTTTGATAGGAGTGAATGGAGACAAATGGTTTTTAATACTTGACGTGCTGTTGGAGTGTGAGCAAAGTAACATTTATGAAGGGATTCAGGGAAACCGGCAGGCCGGACTTGAGTCCTGGAGATGGGAAGTACAGTGCCTGCACTCTGAAGGAGGGGTGTTAATGTTGCAGTTTAAAAACTGTAGTGTAAAGCACCCTTCTGGCAAGACAGTGATGGAGTGAATGATGGTGAAAGTTTTTCTTTTTCGGGCCACCCTGCCTTGGTGGGAATCGGCCGGTGTGATAATAAAAAAAAAAAAAAAAGTTTACTGAGTATACCAGGAAAAGTGTACGGTAGGGTTATAATTGAAAGAATTAGAGGTAAGACAGAATGTAGGATTGCGGATGAGCAGGGAGGCTTCAGAGTGGGTAGGGGATGTGTAGATCAAGTGTTTACATAGAAGCATATATGTGAACAGTATTTAGATAAAGGTAGGGAAGTTTTTATTGCATTTATGGATTTAGAAAAGGCATATGATAGAGTGGATAGAGGAGCAATTTGGCAGATGTTGCAAGTATATGGAATAGGTGGTAAGTTATTAAATGCTATAAAGAGTTTTTATGTGGATAGTGAGGCTCAGGTTAGGGTGTGTAGAAGAGAGGGAGACTACTTCCCGGTAAAAGTAGGTCTTAGACAGGGATGTGTAATGTCACCATGGTTGTTTAATATATTTATAGATGGGGTTGTAAAGGAAGTAAATGCTAGGGTGTTCGGGAGAGGGGTGGGATTAAATTTTGGGGAATCAAATTCAAAATGGGAATTGACAGTTACTTTTTGCTGATGATACTGTGCTTATGGGAGATTCTAAAGAAAAATTGCAAAGGTTAGTGGATGAGTTTGGGAATGTGTGTAAAGGTAGAAAGTTGAAAGTGAACATAGAAAAGAGTAAGGTGATGAGGGTATCAAATGATTTAGATAAAGAAAAATTGGATATCAAATTGGGGAGGAGGAGTATGGAAGAAGTGAATGTTTTCAGATACTTGGGAGTTGACGTGTCGGCGGATGGATTTATGAAGGATGAAGTTAATCATAGAATTGATGAGGGAAAAAAGGTGAGTGGTGCGTTGAGGTATATGTGGAGTCAAAAAACGTTATCTATGGAGGCAAAGAAGGGAATGTATGAAAGTATAGTAGTACCAACACTCTTATATGGGTGTGAAGCTTGGGTGGTAAATGCAGCAGCGAGGAGACGGTTGGAGGCAGTGGAGATGTCCTGTTTAAGGGCAATGTGTGGTGTAAATATTATGCAGAAAATTCGGAGTGTGGAAATTAGGAAAAGGCGTGGAGTTAATAAAAGTATTAGTCAAGAGGGCAGAAGACGGGTTGTTGAGGTGGTTTGGTCATTTAGAGAGAATGGATCAAAGTAGAATGACATGGAAAGCATATAAATCTATAGGGGAAGGAAGGCGGGGTAGGGGTCGTCCTCGAAATGGTTGGAGAGAGGGGTAAAGGAGGTTTTGTGGGCAAGGGGCTTGAACTTCCAGCAAGCGTGCGTGAGTGTGTTAGATAGGAGTGAATGGAGACGAATGGTACTTGGGACCTGACGATCTGTTGGAGTGTGAGCAGGGTAATATTTAGTGAAGGGATTCAGGGAAACCCGGTTATTTTCATTAGTCGGACTTGAGTCCTGGAAATGGGAAGTACAATGCCTGCACTTTAAAGGAGTGGTTTGGGATATTGGCAATTTGGAGGGATATGTTGTGTATCTTTATATGTATATGCTTCTAAGCTGTTGTATTCTGAGCACCTCTGCAAAAGCAGTGATAATGTGTGAGTGTGGTGAAAGTGTTGAATGATGATGAAAGTATTTTCTTTTTGGGGATTTTCTTTCTTTTTTGGGTCACCCTGCCTCGGTGGGAGACGGCCGACTTGTTGAAAAAAAAAATGAATTATAATACCCCTGTATGTGATAGGCCATTTTGAATATTTTAAATCCCATGTGAATTAAATAACAATGCTTCGCATAATACATGGACAGACTTTTAATATTAGAGAACTACTGCAATATGACTTTTTAGAGATCCGCAACACGGCCCGCAAGATAATGGTGAGCGACCGAGTGTATGTCGACATGGGCATGGGAAGCGGATCAACACGGGTAGTGACGGGGGTGGTCAGATACACTGGTGGCGTGCACTTTGCCTCAGGCTTCTGGGTGGGTGTTGAGCTCGATGTTCCTCGAGGTACCAACGACGGCTCTGTCAACGGCAGCAGATACTTCAGCTGCAAGGCACACCACGGCATCTTCGCCTCCCCTTCCAGAATCATAAAGTAAGTTTCATCCCTGCTAGATCTGCATTCAAATGGTGGGGGAATTTATTATAATTAGGGTTGATAGTTGAAAATTAAAAAAAATAGTTGCTTGTAGGGTATCTCCACGATATTTGATATAAAATATTATTAAATCAGAATCTAATTTTCTTATGTAAATAGAAGTCTGGCTTAATTCTTTACTAAATTCATTATCTAAATAGCAAATAATCTTCCTAAGGAATGGCTCGTTTAGGTAAACAGTGTTAAAGGAATGAATTTAACATTTAACAGTCAAAACAAAATGAGTATATTTAGACAAACTTCATTTATGTGTGGTTTTCAGTTCTGTAATTAAAAGCTTCATAAAAATTAATTAATGCTCCGAGGAAGACAAGGATCTATGTCACGTTGATGGTATTTCTTTGGCTGCTGTCTACCTGCTTACCACACGGCTCGGTACATATTGTAAAATAGAATTCGTTACTAACTTTTACACTTATCCATTATTATTATATGTACTAAACCAGGGAAACATTCAGCTTCTGGGAAATAGGTAATCAGGTTTGATCTGAGGAAGGAAGGTAGCTCTAGTTCCATGGATCAGTAGTAGTTCTTCAACATGAGAGCACTCACCATGAAGGTTACTTACCCAGACTTCAACTTCTGGGTGCTTGAAGTCAAGCTTAACTCGTGACAATAATTTATAAATTTATCAGTCAGAATGAATATTAAAACAGAATCTGTCGTCTGCCATTTGAAAATCTTTTATATATTCGAAGATAACTTCATCTGCTTTTAATTAATCATTAATACATTAGTTGGGGAGTGGAACACCTAGGTAATTTAATCACCAAGATTAAGGTAATGTTTATGATTATTATAACTGCTTAATAAATGCTCACTGATATTGGCTTGTACCTTGTCTGTAGCTTGTGTAAGAAGTATTATTGTTGGGAGGGCTATATACAAAAATAATCATAGAATCAGTAGTATCTTACCGGTGTTCGGATTTCAGACCCAGAAATACCAATTTAGAAAGTTGAGCATTTCGTATGCCATCCTGGATTACGTTTTTTATATGGTCGTCCATATTATTTAGAATAATGTCTCAGCATCTTATAAAAATTTCCTTGCCACTTAAAACTGCAAAACATTTAAACATAATATTAGTATGAATTTGTTTCAATATTTCTTAGTACATGGTCCATGTAGTGTAATTTAGCATAGAAATAGATATCAGAATAATAGTTCTAGTGTTGTAGCTTATAGTAACAAAATTCACATTTGTAACGTGTATGCATAGTATACTAATATCTACTAACTCCACTTCCTCTCCTTCCACTTCCTTTTCCTGTTTCTTACTGCAACCTGTCCTTCACAACCGTCTCCTATCTATTTTCCACATGCCTACTTTTGTCCCTTTTCGTATATGTTCTCTACTTCTCTTTCCCGTGCATACTTTCCCTGTCTACATCCCACACTCCACCAACCACCTACAGACTCAGCACTGAACAAGACATGGAGGGAAGCCAAGACCTGCCCAATGACTCGTCAGCACTGAGCTTCAGCCGCCACTCCCTCAGTTCAAGTTCCAATAACACCATCAACATGCTCTCTAGTGGTCCTCTTAGCTTGGGTTGCATGGCTCCCATGAGTTGCAGTTCCCATGGCCCCATAAATCTAGGTTCCAGTGGTACTATGGCTGGTGTGGGAGTCAGCTCCAAAATAAACCTAGACTCAAATAATGTAACGACAGTTAATATAAAAGACTCTTGTTCGACCTGCTCATCATCCCGTCATCTTCTTGATACCCAAACTCAGGGGTCACCAAAGAAGACCCAGCTGGTGAAGACAGCCCTTTACCCGACCAACACAACCATGACTAGCCTTAACAGATCTTTCTCTGCCCGGTGAGTAGAGCATAACTAGGGTAACACTGCTGAATATTTCTTCCTCACTACATCAAGGGCTGCATAAAAGCCTGGGGAGGGGGGCTTGGAACTCGTAATCTAAGACTTAAAGTTAGATCAGTAGTTACTGTATATACAATGTTTAGGTCGCACCAGAGCTGGATTAGACTCTTTTTAGGCCAGTAATATAATCATAGACTATGATATCTTACAATGACTGATACGTTGTCTGCAATATTTTTTCATAAGCCCTGAGCGTTGTCCCCATATTGCCCGAAGGATAATTCGAATCTGACTACCTCCCATGTAGATTTGTTGTATGAATACTTAAATAGTACAGTGCTCGGATTATGACATTCTAATTAAATATTAGTACTTAAAAATTGTGGATATCCTGAAATGAGTGATAACTAAGCTAGAATGTGCTGGACATATTCTTGACACTTCAAAGAATCTGAAAAACCTCAAGTTTGTAATAGCATCTCCCGTCTACGGGAGCAGAATGGTGATATTCAATCGAAGGAGACACTCCAGCTCTGTAACAGCACAAATGGATGTGATCGGAGGACAATTTCTATGTCATGCCTGTCTAAATCATCTTTCCTACCGTCTGTGGATTCTGAATCATGTCATCAACCAGTTAGCGCTGACCAGGAACAACATGTCAGCAGGGTTTTCGTACTGTTATTTAATTTAATAGATGCCGACATAGCAAAACTTTATTTCATAATTTACATGTACTGTACAGCAATTTGCAGATTATTTGAGAAATATTTCCTCTGTTTTACTCTGCATACCTCAAAACTTATACTCCACAGATTACTAGGATCATGCTATATTAAGCTTTAAGATTATTATATTATGTAGATAAATGGTTTAGAGAACCGACAAGTTGGTAAATTAGACACATGTGCAATACTTTGGTATCCTTATTGAGGTTAGTGAACCTTTAGGCATGACCTACTTCCATATTTGGATTTGTCAAGTGTAATACCACCTACGACTGCTTCACCTCACCTGTCTACAGTATATAAGCCACTTCGCACATATGCTGTATTCTTTTCAAGACTGATGTACTGATTACATCGACTCAAGGCTGAGGGACTGCCTCAAACTCCTCCTGTTCTTCACCATTCTCCTTTGTATGGACTGATGAAGCCACTGTGTAGCAAAACGTTTCCTCAGTAAAGATACACATGTGTCTAATTTATTATTGTTAGTTGAAGCCTAGTGGTGGGTTTAGGTAATTAGCTTCGATTACTAAGACTTATTTTCAAGGTGTTTCCACATAGATCACAATTGTGTTGTTGCATGCTTAGATAAATGTTAGTAATTTTACGTTCTTATGGAAGTTCTGTATTTTGTAAATATACAAGAATTATCCACAACACCTATAATACAGTGCTGATATATACAGTAATTCAAGAATGAAAAGTACAGATTTTCTTTTGAATTGTTTTAAAGATTATACATAGAATCATGGTATTTCACTCATTCATTATCCTCACTATATGTCAATGGTAAGAAAGGTAAAAAATTAATATTAGAATAGATGGTGGCCCGGAGCAGCGCTGTATAGCCCTTGTGGTTTAGCGCTTCTTTTTTATTATAATATTAATAATAATGGTGGCCCGGATACATTTGCAATAACCTTACAGGTTGTTCTAGCAACTCGAAGAGACTGCAAAATATGTACAGAAGAATGCACACTCGTCATTGCATCTTAGGAAGCAATGACGGGCAGAAACACATACATGCAGGATGTGCTGTATTTTTATCATGATGAAAATGTTTCTTTTTCGGGTCACTCTGCCTTGGTGGGAAAGGGCCAGTGTGTTAAAAAAAATTAAAAGGAATAATGGGTACAACTTCATCAGCCACGTATGTAGTTAATATTGTCATTGTCATATGAGCTAGTTGGGCTCAAATTCAGTCTTTGTGAGTGTTATGCTCAGAAAAGTTTTAAAATTTTCAGAAAACTTTGCTGCTCATATTTTAATAATTTTCTGGTATTTACTATTTTCTAGTAACGTCTTGCAAATTCTTCATTGTTATATTATATATTAGAGAATGAAATAACAACACTAACTGGAACAATTCACAGATAACCCACAAATTAAAAATAATAACTAAATCTTTGGGTTTGTCCTCGACCTGATAGACCATTATCAGGTTGTGAGCAACTTTTTTCAACTGTTTTGGTTTGAAACTTTTTGCAGATCTTTTCTCTTGTTATAGCACAAGTGGTGACTATAAATAACTTTTTGACAGCTACATGACATCGAGACAACGTCAGGAAGAGCTGGAACGTGCTGCAGAGGATAGGAAGAAGGAACAGACGTGGTGTAACCCGCCACTACTGGCGGCCACACCTAAGTTACAACGCAAGAAGCGAGAGAATCAACACTGGTTAGAGGTTGGCCACAATGTTTTCTACAAGAACGAAGTCGGTGAGTTGACTGATGCTGGGAATGTTAGGTTTAAAAACTATTAACTGCACGTGGTTCATGAACATCACTAATGCCAGGAATACTTTAATCTCTGAAATACAAATTATGTAAACTGCCTTGATAAACTGAGAGATGTACACCACTCACTGTATTTACCCTGCTAGGAATAGTTGCTGATTACTTTTACATAGAAGGATAATGAATGTTAGTTATAGAATGGAATAGTAAGTATTGAATGTAGACATAATAGAATAATATAGAAAAAACAGTATTCATTCTGAACCTTATTGCTTCACTCTACAGGTGTTCATATTTTCTGAACTGTGGTGGTTAAAATGTTTTCAGAAACAAGCTAAACATGATGAAAGTGAGACGACCGTTGGGACGCTTTGCCTGTGGACAGGTTTCTTCAGTCAATATACGGGGATGCGCAAGCAGATTTATACAAGCGTAGTCAGGTGAGTGGCCAGGTCAGTGAGGTCACTGCTTGAGGTGAATTGCAAGAAGGGAGCACTGGATGATGATTGTCCATTTCATTTATGAACAGCTGCGTGTCCTTCCAAGACATCAAAAAGACGCCTATCTGGTTATAAACGAAAATGACAAAACATGAGGCAGATGCCTTTAAGCTGCACTGATCTGAACACAAAGTATAATCCAACATAATCAAGGAGCCTTCGGTTTAGCCAAACCTGGAACACAACTTATCTTGCATAAACAGGTCATAGGAAGGACCTAAAGTTCTACCGTCTTGTAATTCACCCTCAGTGACGTCAATGACCCGGCCACTCGCCTGAATACGCTTGTATAAATTTGTTTGTGTACGAATGGTATATAATACCGACAAGATGAGATTAAGACACATGTGCAACATCTGGGTATCTTTATTGTAGACGTTTCGCCATCCAGTGGCTTTATCAATACAAATTCTAGGACATAACTTGAAGACAGTAGAACTATGTACAGAAGATGAGGTAATCAGTCCCTCAACCTAGGAGTAGGTTGAGGGACTGATTACCTCATCTTCTGTACATAGTTCTACTGTCTTCAAGTTATGTCCTAGAATTTGTATTGATAAAGCCACTGGATGGCGAAACGTCTACAATAAAGATACCCAGATGTTGCACATGTGTCTTAATCTCATAAATTTGTTTGTTGGGCATTCCTATATATATTGACTGAAGTTTATCCACAGGGGCAACTTCTCAATAAAGCTGCTTTCTGCAATTGTTGCGTTTTTGCCACTTGTGACTTAGTGCCATTTGTCTCCAAGTTAAATATAAATTTTTGATGTACTATATTTATCTGCTTTAAATGTTTGTGTATATTCACGTGCTTCGTTTGAACAACTGGAGATGATACTTAGCTTGAATTTGAATCCTTGTGTAATGGAACAATTAATTTTCAGTCAGATATGGTTTATCTCTTTAATATTATGCATTCGGTCTTTGGTGTTGCAATTTCTTGTTCAGGCAAACCACAGAATAGCAGACTGCCCATTTTATATTGTGTTGTGTAGAGTAGCCATGTTTGGTCAGTTTTGACTTGAAAGGATAAATTTTTTACTGTTCTCTTTATAATGACCATGAATCATAAAATGTAAATATATGTATTAATGTTTACATATGGAAGTAAAATACACTTGCCGCATGTACTGCTTTTTTTTATTAGTTCATTACACGAAATAGTCGAGCAGAGTGCTTAAAATAGGCGGGTAAGGAAGACTGAAATAGGCAGACAGGCAGGCAGATAACGGTGAAATTGACAGGCATAGAAAAGTGTACATATAAAACAGGTAGAGAACATTGGAGTAGACTGGCAGACAGCAATGAAATGCTTATGCAAGGAAAATTAACTAGTTATGCCTAAGATAGGTAGATATTAATGAAGTAGACGTAACAGTCAAAAAAATCAGGCAAGCAAGGAGGAGCAAGTGATGGAAGCTAGCAAGCAAGCAGATTGTTGTTGAATACAGAGTGACGTTGAGAGTTAATAAGTAGGAGTGATGCAGTACTAGCGTGTGTGGGACGGCAGAATTGACCTATGAGTTGCATGGTGCTAGTGGCAGTGCAACATTTTCCCGTGAGTATTGCCATGCATTCGTCGCTGACATCATCCAGGGCTGAGGATGACGGCCACACCACACTACACATGTTTCTATTCTTGTAATTAAAATTGTGTAATTACATTAGCATTTTATTATGATTAGTATATAATTAGCATTTTATATTATTATTGCATTCTCAGAAGAGAGGGTAGACGTGTGGAGGTTAGTTATAGATGTAAAAGAGGTGGTGGTGGTCTGTTAGCCAAATAAAATATCTGCTGCCACATGTCTTAGTCATATGATGACCCACTAGTGGTTAAGCAACAGCTGGAGTACTCCACTTTAAAAGTTCAACGTATCACATTGTCATTTGTTCTATACACCAGTATCTTAAGGGCAAGTTAGATCGGCAGGAGTGGATATAATGGGATATTGAGACTCGAGGTTTGCAGTTGTGAGCAAGGTAATATTTCTAAAAGGGATTTGGGGAAAACTCAGTAGCCGGGCTTGAGTTCTGGAAGGAAAAAGTAGATTGTGCACTCTGAAGGAGGGATGGGCATGTTGCATTTCGGAGGGCCATTGGAATTAAGATGTCTGTACACGTCAAATAGGAAAAAGAGTCTCCGATTACCATCCAAACTAAAGGTATTTCGCTATTCGAGAGAGGTATCTTCATATCCCATACCCTCCTCTACTTCGCTTCGCACAAAAAGGAATATTATGTAGTGTGAGGTAACTTGTCTCGTGATTAGCATGCAGAGGATCTCGCCAACTAATTCTTGTGCAGAATGACCCACACGGATCTTCCACTTCCTATAAATATAGTAATGTAAATTTTACGTCCTTATCAATTCCATTTCATCTGCGTGTTCCAGGAGTGGCTAGGAGTAGAGCTTCGAGCAGCCAAGGGACGCCACGATGGGATGGTTCGAGGACGCCGATATTTCACCTGTCGTCCACGCCATGGTATTATGGTCAAGCCCAACAAGGTCCATGCCAGGGGCATCAACGGCGCCTTGCTTGTCAGACCTCAAGATGAATTCCAAGACTAGTTGAATGCAACCAAGTTAAGGCTCGAAGAGTAAAGACAAGCCCCAGCAAAAGCACTCTTGACATATCTACCCTGCAGTGGATCAAGACCTAACACTCTCTCCTCAATACCCTCTTAATCAAATTCCTTTCTTCTCCTTTCATCCCCACTTCAACTCTGGTAAACTGTAATATACATTTTACCTCCTTTAGATGTGCATTTACTTGCACCTTTTCTCGAGTTAATACTGGAATAATCTTTACTGTGAACTTGAAACTTGTACTGAGAAAGGAAACGGTAAGATCATAAGGATTATTCAGGTTACAGGAATCTGCAATGCGTATACCGACAGCATGTAAATACAACACTTTTGTGCAACACTAACACATTTTATTAGGAAATATTTTGCTCCTGGGAGCTTTGTCGATTGAACACCGAAGATCTGAGATAATCAGTGTATATAGGGGAAGAGACGTTAGGTGCAGGAGGCGTCAAGTAACACGGTATCAGTCGTTACAATGTTGCAAGCAAGCACGACAGATCACTGTTGTGGTGCCACTGATTATCATTGCTGCAGCTTCATGCGACACAGAGTATGTGTCAGTCAGGAAATGCTTCTCACTATATAAGTGTAAGCTGAGCATTTCAGGTCCATCGTCCACAGTAAAATGACTTTAACATATTGGTCATCTATCCTAGGATAGAACCAACTCTCAGATCAGTAGCATAGGCTGCACATCAACTTTACCCTAGAAGTGGAGAGGAGTTAGTTATATTTCCTTCACAGTCTGTAGGATCTCCAGTCTGTCCTTCCTTGAAGAGAGGTGCTCTTATATCATCTCCAGGTTGTTCCATTTTATCAGTGGTTGCAAAAAAGCACAAATCATTATGAATATAACAGTTTCAAACAACCCAATTAAAAAGTACATTGTCCTTCCATGTAGGGACGTAGCTAGAAATGTGGCAAGTGTCCTGCCCAATTAGGAAGGACAACCCCACACTCATAGATGCTTGGGCAGGAGTCTCGGTGGCTGTGATCAAATATGTGAGAAAAAATTATATTTGACAGAGACAATAAAGAGTTTGTAACAGTGCCTTGGAGAACATAAATACGCCTGTAACTGGGTCTACATGAACAACTCGTGCGTGGTTCACCGTAGTTCACATGACATCAGATGAAGTGGGGAGAAGCCAGGCTCATACAAGGGTAGACTGATTTGCGGGAAAGGCGCTGCCTTGAGGCATTGATTGCTGTTTCTAACACTAGTACAAAAAATCTGGTAGTCTCAATATTTCAAGTGTGTTAATCAACCTATTGCTACCCAGCCAGAACAATGCAGTCAAGTTATCTGATTGAATATGTTACTGACCTGACGAATGCTGCACCTGACTTCTCTCCCTATACATATATATTTATAATCTCTTATGCCCTGTATTAGATTGAGAAAGCTTCCAGGAGCAAAACATTTCCTTATATGTTGTAATGTTGGACAAAAATTATTCAAGTTAGCTAAAGTAAGATTAGGCAGAACAAACCTATAAATATGCAGAATGTTTGCCGGTATAAAATAAAAATTAAATGTGTTGCATTCACATGCATTCCAATATCGTGTTTTGTAAACATAAAATATAAAATACAAGCAATAACAATCACTATTGTACAAGATTTTTTTTATTTTAATGTAAATACATTACGTGCTGTAACTCGTACATATTGATGGTGATACCACTTACAATCTTCATCAACTACACATTACAATATCTCGTGTGTTGACAGGCGTGAAGCTTCATCTGGGTATTTTGCTGTTATCACAATATAAACACTGCCACAGATAATGTAGCCTTCTAGATGTCAAGATTTCTCCATAGATGAAATGGCATATTGCCAGTAACTTTAAAAATAAAGACGTAAATTGCAGAACAAGCTTTAATTTGGACAACGTTTTCTTTCTGTGTGTGGAGCTTTATCAAGTCATCTTGACTTGATAAAGCTCTACACAGCGAAACGTTGTCCCTCTTCAAGCTTGTTCTGCAACATGTCTGTCTTCAGTATTTCCCCATATTAGTTTATTGTTCTTGCACATATGTATAAATGTGGTTTTGTTACTAGATATATAATAGATTTTTACTTTATTGCTCCCTTTATAATTAAGTTAACTAAAATATCTCACCTAGATTTAGCATCAGGTACTATGCTTTAATTAGTGGTAAAGAGTAGTGGGTTGCAAGCAAGTTCCCAGGTAGCGAGGATCTTGCGTGAACTTAACCTAGACAACTTCAAGAAAGTTAATGCATAATTCATATTTACCTAGTGATTTTTACGTCTAGTTAATATGGGAAAGACCCACGGAGTAGTTGTATTATCACTGCATATTGTAAATAATAACGATTTGAGTTTATTGTGCACTTTTAAGTTTAGTGTCGCTTACACGGCTTTCTCTGCTAGACCAGAGAGTGTGTGCTACGTGTGACTGTATATATAATCAAGTTTTGTCAGGTACTTCAATAAAAGTATTGCGACGTGAATTACATCAATGGTTTCACTGTCAGTGTTATCACTGCTGGTCATTACCTGTGATGACCACATATTGTGCTAAAATGTTTCCCTGGCCTTAATAACTAATGTCATGTTACTAATTTGTAAATAAACACTGTAATTTTCATGACCTATAGTTGGTTGCCAGGTTCTACCTGCATTTTAAGTACGATTACTGAATGAAATATATTTTTATTGAATTCGTGCCTATCGTGTATTTATTGTTGTGAATTTTATCCCAGTATTTTGTTTTAGATTGAACAATCATGTTATAGTGTAAAAAATATAATCTACGGGTTATAAATTACATGTAATTAAAGTTAGCCGGACTTGAGTCCTGGAGGTGAGAAGGGAAGTGCCTGGTTCTCTGAAGGAGGAGTGATGTCGCAGTTGGAAGGTAATCTGATTGTGATGTCGGCATAGGTCTGCAAAGACAGCAATTGAGTGAATACTGGTGAGCGTTTTTTCTTCTATGGGTCACCCTGCCCAAGTAATTTAGAAAAAAAAAGTTTTAGGGAACTAAATGTGTCCCTAAACATAAAAATTCTTTTCTTTTCAAAGTTCCACAAAGTATTAACATACTAAAATAAAAATAAACATTGATGGAGTAGTGCCGAGTGAAACAAGAGGGAGATGCGGGAGTCAGGTCGCGGGGTCGTGGAAGCTTCCTGGAGGTGAGAGAGCAAGCAGCTCCCTGGGGGTCAGGGGTTATGGGTACTGACATTTTTTGTATTAACGAAGTAGGTAAGTGGCTGGTGGTGGGGGTTGGAGGAAATGTATTTAGGATGATGACCTGGAGTTGATTTTGGGGTCAGGGCCAGTCCCAGACCCGGTTACTGGCGTGATCGACCAGGCTGTTAGCACCAACGGTACAGTCCAATATATGTCCCACAGCCTGGATGATAGACATTGACTAGGAACTTAAGCCCCTTCTTTAAGATCGCCAAGGGTTTGTCTGTTGAAGAGCTTGGTCCCCTGACACTTAGTGTTCTCTTAGTGCCCTTGCTTTTTATTGGAGGTATTTTTGCATTATCTGCCAAACCTCTTGTTTTATGTGGATTGAGTGTAGTGTGCAGGTTCGGGAGCTGTCCCTCCAGACCTTTCAATGTATATATTATGATCTACAGTATCTTTATCGCCTACATTCCAAGAAGTACAATTCAAGGGACTTATGCATCCCAATAGTTCATATGTTTAACCGAATTTATATGTGCAGGTGACAAGTGGAGAAATTCTGTAAAGATTATGAACTGGAAAGTCAAATTACATAAAATTAATGGGCAATGTCTTCCTGCCAAGTAACCTTGCAGGCATCCAGCATTGTTGAAACTCCCATAAGCCACAGTCGTCAGGTAATTCATTACCTTGATCTGAATATTCAAGGTGACAGACCACATGCATAGTTTAGACAATGAGCTTTATTTAGAATAAATGGAAGAGCACTCCTACTGACCCTGGAGAGGCAGATCCCACTAAATTATTTTTAAACAATGTATATTTGAGTGTACTGCTATGCTCTCAGGACTTACCATAACGAGAGTAAATGCAAACAGAAAAAAGATCAGCCTCACACCTGACGTTCTTAGCCAACGTGATATATTTCATTAAGAAAATGAGAATCAGTGCTCCAGTTCCCTGAATTGAGCCTGAATACCTTCCACCTCCTCCCCCCACATGCGCTGTATAATCCTACGGGTTTAGCGCTCCCCCATGATTATAATTCGACAGCAACTGATTTACTGCACAAACTCTGATGATGATGCCTCTAGTACTCCTCACAGCCCTTTCTACCTCAATCTCTTGCTACCCTCTACCAATGCACTATCCATTGCCCCACTGCACTCCATGACCTAATAATCATTCTCTCTCTCTCTCTCTCTCTCCTCTCTCTCTCTCTCTCCTCTCTCTCTCTCTCTCTCTCTCTCTCTCTCTCTCTCTCCCTTTCCATTACCCCTGCATCCTTCCCTGCCCTCCACTGTATGACCCTTGTAGGTTTAGCGCTTCTTTATTATAATTGAAAGACTACTAATGTAGGGATTTTGAGGTCTCCCTTTCCTCGGATCAAACCTGACTTACTTCCCATTCCTTAGGCGTTGTAAGACCCTTCATCTCAAGAAGGACATCTGGATTCTGGGGAAGCACTCTTGCTCACAGGAAATAGAGCTACCCTTCTCTTCCTTGGATCAAACCTGATTACCTCCCATTTGCTTGGCGATATATGATTCTAAAAAGGTATAATTCTTTACCGTGATTATAATAATACACTTAAAAACGCAGAATGTGTGTATCTGTAGAAAAAAACAATGAATATGCAATTCTGGGGATCACAAAGATCCTTTCCTGCCCCTCAAGGGAGGTTCCTTGACGCTGGCCCCTCAAGGAAGGTTCCTTGATGTTGGTGAGGGGCTCTTGATTTAGGGAATTGGATCTGTGCTCCATTTCCCCGAATTAAGCCTGAATGCCTTCCACATATCCCCCCCCCCAGGCACTGTATAATCCTCCGGGTTTAGCGTTTCCCCCTTGATTATAATAATAATAATAATCCTTGACGCTGGTGAGGGGCTCTTGATCTAGGGAATTGGATGTGTGCTCCAGTTCCCTTAATGCCTTCCACCCCCCACAGGTGCTGTATAATCCTACGGGTTTATACAGCCTTCCTCCTAAAGGGCAATAAAATATAATTAAGCATTTTTCGTGTATGCTATTTTTTGGCAACAAAAACAGCAACGTAACCAAACTTCGCTCAAATTTACACAATATTTAAAATTCCTACTCTTTAGTAATGTATTTTTGACGTGTATATGTAACTAACCTCACAGACAAGTTCAGGAAAGTTTCCTTACCTCTTCTTGTGGCATTTCTTTTTATATTCTTCCTGCAAAGTGCCCGAATACGTCAAGAAAACTAGATCCTTCAATAGGGCAGACAATCTGTAAGATTCCGATGGGATGCAAAATGTGTATGTATCGCAAACTCAAACATAATACAAGAAGTTATCAAAGCTCTCCAGCACAGCCTTATAATAGCTGGAAAAACAAGTTACATTCACTAAGCTGACAACACACTGTTGTGTAAGCTTTCTCTTCGACGAAATTGTCCACATGCACAAAACTGTACATGAACCGTTCCGTGACGTGAATTCTGATAATAGTTTCTACGGGATTATGAACCCATTACTGATACGACCAATAACAGTATGATATAAGGAATTTAAGATACGAAAAAAATATAATTTGAGGATAGGCTTGTATAATTTTTCTTTTAGCCCATATATTGTTATCTACATTCTGAAAGAGTTAGGAGGATCGACACCATGCCCAGCCCTTCTAGGGTAGGGTAGGTGCCTGAGCCCGAGCTTTCAGCTCACAAGACTCATTCCCATTAGCCCCCTTGGGGAGGGGATGGCAGACCAGAGAGGCCTAGCTTATGGCTAGGCCTGGGGACAGTTGGTCCCAAAGATGAGGAGGTACTTGTACCTCCTCCCATGGGAGACTTAGGTCTCAGACACTCCCAAGACAGGGAGCCAAAGCCGGGCCACCACTTGGAAAAGGCCCGGGCCGGGAGAATACCGGCGAATCTTTAATAATAAAATAAGAAAGTTTTGTATTTTTTTATAAGTCAAATACCAAAATAAAAAGTGAATGAGTGCAGCAGGTGTACTGCCATGCTGAGTGAGCATCTGTATTAATGTGAAGGTTAGAGAAACCTGAGCGACCATCTGTGTCAGTCTCCCTACCCGCACACTTATTGTTCTAAGGTATTGTATTACATTGCATGAAGTAGTAAACCCGTGTGGGTCATTTAATCGATGCAGTGGTGGAGGCTTGATCCTTTGTTCACTTATAGCCGCTCAGTCTCTGAGAAGATTGTCGAGTTTAGGCGGAAATGTATCAACCAGTTAAGTTTTCAAAAGGCGGATTTACTCCAGGATCCAGCTTAAACCTAACAAAACTAATATATCCGTCTTTAGAATTATTCAAACTGTGGAATATTAGACTAGTCTTACAGAATAAAAACTCACCATTGTACCACCATAGCCTTGCCGGTAATAAAAGCACATTCTGTTTGTTAGGTTCCAAGCTTATGTATTGCAAGTGGGTCATTAATGCTGCACTTCACCTGGACACTAACATCAAGAATGTTTTAATCCCTGAAATAGGTATTCAAGTATGTTCACACAGAGATGCAGATGTCACTGTATATATTGCGGGGCAGCCAGGTGCCAGAAGTAAAAGAAAAAACTCATCATTATGAAACTCAGCTTTAGTATCCCTGGAGCTTCACATCACTGCCAGGCAACAACACTGCAACAACCTACCATTTGCAACATCCTCGTTTGACAACCATTTTCCAATGCGCTGTATGACCCTTATGGATTAGTGAGTTCGACACGTGCAGCACAAATATTTTTTATTATTGAAACGTTTCTCCTGTGCAGCAGGCGTCTTTATTCAAATAGAGGCTATTATAACACCGGAGACGGTAGAAATGGAGAGAGAAAATTGAGGTGATCAATTCCTCAGCTTTATAGGTGGTGGTTAGTCCCTTAGCCTAAAGCGAAGATCAGAAACTTATATACTGGAGCTACAACTAACGTGTAGCAGCTGGAGATGACGTCCCAAGTGAGTGGGACCCGCTAGTGGCAGTAGGTCATGCTAAACATTTGTTAGCAATAGAATTGGAGAGAGAGATCTCTTCCACCTAAATGCCATGTTGTTCCTGTGTCAGATAAGTATTATATAAATGGTATTTAGTACTAAGAAATTAATTAATAATACGTGCAACACTTTACTGTCGAAGTGTCCCCCTCACAGCAGGCTTCTTCAGTTTACTACAAACAATTATAATACTGGAGACAGTAGACAAACTTGAGAGGTAATTTTGATGTGATTAGCTCTCAGCCTAAGATATAATGTCTTTATTTACTACAGGTACATATACAAGGTATACAGGCCTAGCTAACGTCAATGACATACTACTATGGAAGGCTGAG